TTGCTACACAGCTATGATAGATTAAATAATGATTTTTAAGAAGAATAGCTATAGTATAATTAGAAGAGTAACCCTTATCTTTGGTATTGATATAGGGTAAATTTTTGATTTTACAACTCACATATATATGTATATGATAAGTATAAGCTATAATAGTAATTGGAGATTTATTAGTATTAAAAGTTAGAGGTTGTGGTGAGTTAAATATTTAGGAGAGATGAGGTTTAGAGATTAAAAAAGCTAGGAGTTTATCTGTAATCATATTAAACTATTTGTTTGAGATAGTTAGAGAAATATTTATTAAAGAAGTAGAAGGAGTACTAAGTATAGTAGCTCTAATTTTATAGAACTGTGATATAAAACTTGTATAGAATTTTCTATACAAACAGGAGTATAAATTGGTTGCTTAGAAATCAAGAAATAATGTATTTTCTTTTTATCACCAGTATTATAGTTAGTTGGTTTAATATTTTCAGGCAGAATATAGAATGATTCTAGTTTAGTTTTATTCATCTCAAGAGTATATTAATTTTTGTATCTATTGTAATAATAATCAATACTATATAAATCAGGTTCAGTTGAGGTTAAAGTAGGCATTTTTGGTAATTGAAGAGTAGTATAAGATAAGAGTAATGATTTGTAAAAGAAACTATATGAAATAGATTAAATTTAGTATAGAAAATATAAGTTTAATTAAAACTATAGTGAAATTTTCTAAAAACTAGTAAAATTTCCAGGTCTTGTAAGCAGAATTCTGTGATCTGAATCAGTTTAAGGTCAAGAAAAAAGTAAAAAATCTGAGACAAGCTAGTAAAATTTCTGAAAATACCACAGATAATTTCTAAATAATCTACAAGAATTTAGTAAGCCTTTAAACAGGTTTTCAGAAGTAATTTAGTGAGTTTTGGTCCGTTTTTAATAAAATTTATATCAAAATGAAGCTCTAACTTAGGAGAATCTAACTTTTTTAATAAACAAGAGTTGTTAAGTTAGTAATATTTTAAGATATTTAAGAAAATAGAAGTAAACAAGAAGTATATAATATCTCTATAAAATTTGGTTCAAGAGATATAAAATTAGACTGTTCTAATATAAAATGTTATGCTGAACAATTTTACTTAATAGTCTAGAGGTAGTTTACTTAATAAAATTTTGAAATAATTTGAAAAAACTTAGAAAACCAGAATTATTTAATATCTCTACAAGCAAAGGTCCAAAAGAGATAAAACTAGGCTGCTTTGAAGTAAAATTTTACTATGAATAACTTTACTTAGTAGCCCAAGATTAGTTTATTTAATAGAATTTTGAATAATAATTAAATGTTTGCAAGAAATTTTGGTACAAGTGATCTTTGAAAAGAGTTGCTAATTTGTGTCTCTTAGTTTGTTTTTGACAAATAATTATTTATTATTAATTATAATAAATATTACTAAATAATTGCTATTTAGTATAATTGCTGCTACTTAGCTATGCTATTTGATAAAAATTCAGTATTACCAATTGGTAATAAATTAGTAATAAATTAGTAGTTAAAAAATTTCTGATTTATTGCTAATTTATTGCTAATTAGCAATACTAAATTTTTATTAAATAATATAGCTGAGTAGTAATAATTATACTAAACAGTAATTATTCAGCAATATTTATTATGATTAATAATCAATAATTATTTGTTAACAAATTGGCTATTAATTATTATACTGAATAGTATCATTTTGGCTAGTGATAGTAAATATATAATTTAAGCAATATATGCAATTTATATAATAATTATACTTATAATCTATAGTTATATTATATTGTTCTAAACTCTATCTAACTATTCTTTAGGTCTTATAATAATTACATATTTAATTTTAATTAGCTAATCATATAAAGTTATTATAACAATTTATTATTATAAAATAATATCTAAATATCTAAATATTTAGTTAAAATTTTTATATTTACTAAAAAATATATAATAAAATATAATACAAATCTTTATTTAATTACTAAATATAAATAATATATATATATAATAATTAAATTTTAATAATTATTTAAAAACATAGTAGAGAACAATCTATAATAATATTATAAATTAAATTTTATATATAATTAAGTTTATATCTATTTTTAGATTTGATAATCAAATATTAACTAATATATCTATTTATATTTTAGCTCTAAAATTTAATAGTATCTGTTTTCTAGTATACTTATTATCTAGTAAAAATTTTATTTTTTACTAAACTTATTTTTTGTAATTTGTATTAATTATTTCTTAAACTATCTAGTAAGCAAATTTGTTTACTAAAATAATTTTTAAAATTTTTTTTTAAATTTTTTTAAAAATTATCTTTTCTTATTTACTAATAAAGATTAAAATATAAAGTCTAGTAATCTAGTATAGTAGTTAAATTATCAAACTGTTATGCAATAAGTCTAGAGTTTAAATTCTATTATCAATAAATTTGAATAATTTTTTAGACCTTATAATATGTTATAGTAAACCTTATTCATTTCTGAATGCATATTTTTGTAAATTAAGTTATATTAAATTAATTTAAACTTAGAAGTATAATATAATATTATATGAATAATTTTAATAGGATATATAAGCAAGGATCTGTATAGTAGAAATTCTAAGTTAATAAAGTAGTACAGCCTTCATATAGAACTATATTAATTAAAGTCTAATCTGAGAAGAAAACTCAGTTTAATAAAAATAGAAGATTTTAAAATTTACTTTGTAAAAGATAACTAAAACTAGCTAAATACTAGAAAAAGATTAGGTTAACTAACTAGTGAAGGACTACAGTAGAATCTAGAGTTGTATAAATATCACAAAAATCTAAGCTAAGTAAATCTGTAAAATAGATACAAGACAACTTTAGTAGAAATTATTTCTAAGGTTAACTGAAGCTTTGTATACTTACAATATATTGAGTAATATGTATCTCAAGAAGACCTAAGATATGTTGAAAAAAGATTTACAGGCAAGTTAGCTAGCTTAAGTAGTCAGATATAGTAGTAAAGTTAATTTGATATAAGGGATAAATTAATAATCAAAGTATTTAAATAGATAACTTACAAGTATATTATTGATATTGCAGTATAGTATAGAACTAAACAGATAGTCTAATATCTGTGTAGTAGACTACTTAAAATAGATAATAACTAAAGTTGTATATATAGCTTGTTGTAAACTCATCATATAATTATAAACCTTAAGAAGAACTATATATATAATTCTGTAATAAAAAATTAATAAAATCTAATTAGCTAAGAAGATAACCTTAATAATAAAAAAAATTAAAAATTAAAAAAATTTTTTTTAAATATTATTTTAAAATTTTATTACTTTATTTTGAATTTTAATAAAGATATTTAATTTTTTTCAAACTTAATTCTTTAAATTTATTATTAAAATTTTTTAAACTCTTTTAAAATTTTATATGTTTTTAAAAAGAAATTTTTTCTTTCTTCTAATTAAAATCAAAATTTTATTTATAAAATCATAAAAAGTATAATAACAAAAATTATTTATTTTTTTTGTGGTTTACAACCTTTTATTAAAGTAGTAGAAGATTAAATCTTAAATTTATACTAAGTAAAATAATAAAAAAACAAAAATTTGAAATTAAATTTTTTTTTAAAAAGTAAAAAATTTTATTTCAAAATTTTTTGTAAGAATTAAAAAGATTAAAATAATTTTTAAATAATATATATTTATAGTTTTTATTTAAAAAATTTTTATTTAAATATTTTAATTTTTAAAAAAAATAGATCGAACATAAATTTATAAAATTTTAGCAGACAAATTTGCCTACTAAACTGGACGGTTTAAGGGATAGTAAAAAATCGCAGTAAATTAATTGCTTTTTGTAAATCACAATATACACGTCTCTGATCCTAAGTGTTTACATTTTATGATTCATTTACTTGAATTATAAATTTAGATATTAATTTAAATTTTAAAGCTGAAAAAGTTTTTACGTTTCTAAAATATAGCCAGACATAGTTAATTTTTTTTTTTTTTTGATTTTTAATGATATAAATTATGATTATAAAAATTTTGACTTTTTATTTACAAATTACACATAAAACCTAAATTAGATCAATAGTAATACGATCTAAATTTCAAGATCTAGAAAACAGTTTTTAAATACATAATAAGTAATAATCCAATAAACAATTTTGTATATATAAATGATATATTGTCATACGAAAGTATATTTTTGAAATAATGAAAGCATATGGATTGGTACACAGCAAAACCATGCTCTGAGTATATGTAATACATATACTCAGAGCAAGATTTTGCTGTGTACTAACCCATATGAACTTCTAATTCGGAACTGTAGAACGCTAAGATCTTGTTGTACTTGGTTTTTAATGTATCTATTAAGAAAATAAGGTATTGAATTTTTCCGCATATATAAAAGTGAATCTAAAGTCATATAAGGAACGGTCTTTTAACTATATAATTATTATACGATAAAATCTTATATAACTTGTATTTATTCTAGATAAGAGTTATTTTAGATAATACTTAGTTGTTTAAAATTTGTAAATTAGATAATGTAGAAAAAAGAAAATTTGATCTAAAAAGAAATTTAATATAACTATATTTATCTACTTCCATAAAGTAAAAAGTGCCAAATGTGATTGTTGAATAAAAATATATATGTTATTTATAATAACAAAAAAAAAAAAAAAAAAATCCAAATTATATTCATGATCTGCATCAAATGAATAATCATTTCTTAGCATCTAACTTTAACTGATTGTAGAAACGATAAAGAACATCAAAATAAGATCATCTTAGTAACGATGAATGAAAATTACAGTTTGTAGCCCAACGTTCTCTATATATATTGTCATACAGTATAGTATGCCAGTCGGAGTAACATAAAATAAACTTAATTATACTCCGATTAATGAGTATGTGTGAGGGCGGCTTCAAAGTACTATTATATGTCTATAATATATGTATACTTGCAGAATATATTATTTTATTGATTTTGGCATTTTAGAAAATTATCAATGCCATTAAGACAAAAAATATAATTTTCCAAATATTGAATCCGTGCAAGAAGACGTTTTACAAAAGGATGTTGACATAAAATTTGAGGATCCAATAAGGGTTGAGGTAGGCCATAATAAATGTTATTTTCAGCAGCTAATGAAATAAGATGCTCGGATTCATGACTTAAATATCCATTAGATTGAAACATGTAAGGATCATAATTTGTGGTGAATTCAGGTTGATTTTCAATGATCAGAGTAGGTATGGAATTAAAAGAATTTACGTTTAGAGTAGTGTCCATATCTATATCAGATACTGAAGCTGAATCACAATTAGAGTTTTCTTCACCCATGTGATCAAAATAAAGGATTCCCATATTCTTATTCATATTGATCGTTTTATTGAGCATATTTTTGTTAATATTGTTGTTAATATTGTTGTTAATATTGTTGTTAAAATTCATATTATTGTTCATATTGTTGTTAATATTGTTATTAATATTAACATTATGGTTAATGTTCTGGTACATATTATTACTATTACTCAGATCATTATGAATTTCTGAAACAATACATAATGGAGCAATATTTTTAAAACGAATTTTGGCATCTTCAGCTAGTTTCCTATAAGAATTTTTAACGTATTCAGGTTCTTTATACCAACTTTCGCTAGCTTTCGTAGATATTTGTTGTAAAGATAGATCAGGCTTTAATTTTGATATCTCTCTGTTAAAAACTTTTCTATAGATAATAAATGGATTGGGAGTTCTATTATATTTAGAATTGGTGTTACTGAGTGATTTCGAAATTAACTCGTCGATATTGATTTGTGGAGGAAATGAAGGCTTAAAATTAGTTAAAGTAACCGAAGTAACAGTGGTAGATTTCTTGTTGCGATATTTTGGCATGATAACTAATTTATTTAAAATAAAAAAAGTTATTTGCCCTTGTAAATTTGTCAAAGAAAAAAAATTGCGAATATAGAAAATAGAAACTTGGCTTTTTTATACTTTTCGTGACAAAAAAAATAATTTGTGAATTCAAAAATTTTCCTATACCAATGTATAAATATGGATATTTTTATAGAAATGACCATATTTCCTAAATTTGGCAATTTTCCTTACTAGTTACGTGTTGTCGCGTAAATACTGTCATGAAAGTTTTAATAGTTAAAAAATAAGGATTATTTTGTTTAATGACAGAAGTTTTTAACTGATTGGTCAACCAAGTGTTGCTTTATATAACATGACGGAATAAATTTCATTATATAGATCATTATATAAAATAAAATAAACACAAAAAAGGTAGGCTCTTAATGGGAATTAAAGGATAGATTTTTTTTAAATGAGGAATTAAAACAACCATATCATTATCTTAATTAGGATCTTTCAGTATATGTAATATTAAGGTCTAATTTTTGGTTACATTACCTTAGTTATTACGTGAATACTCAGATATTTTATATTCTTAAGACTTAAACCCTCAGGACTGTAAACTTACTCAGTTTAATTCAAATTGATGGTGGTAGGTATTTAAATAAGGGGTACAGAATTACAGTACTTAAGTATGTCGTGCGTTTAAATTCCCGATTACTTTGTAAATTTTAAATATAAAAGGGAACGTGACTTACGTATTGTTTACTAAAAACTTATCATGTTATCTATTATACGTAGAATGAAATGCAGCACGTACAGTACGTACGTACTGTACGTGCGTATTTATCATTGATAAATCCATTTTATAGAGAAGAAATAAAGAGCGCATTTACAATAAAGACAGTATGTAACAAACATCCGGTTTTATTGTGACCGGAGTAAGAACCTTTCTCTAAATATTATTAAACAATGTACTGTACGCATGCGTACTGTATGTTTGTATGTACAGTACTTCATTGCAATGAAATTTAGCGAATAAATTCTCAATAATATAAATAGATAATAGTTTACTTCGGCACATCACGAATACGTAGATGTTCTTTGTGCTACTGTATTACATTCTTAGTTTATATATATGTAGTTATATTCTTTTTCTTTATAGTTTTATCCAATTAAGGAAATAAATGAATATTAATTAAATATATATATAAGCAGTATGGCATAGAAATATAGAAATATAGAATACTTATCTTAAAAATTATCAGTGTTAATTTTGATGTAAGGGTTAAAATTTAAATAGTGCTTGGATCCGTGGATATTCGACTGGATTTTACTCAATCCACTGGACTTTTATATCCGGTGATAATTTCATATAAAAAATATCCAGGATCCAATCACTATAATTTAAATTGGTACTGTGCACCTTAGTGATGTGCCGTTTATATGATACCCGTACGCGTCACTTTCCTAGTTCTCAAAAAATTTTTAATGCTCTTGAATAGAAATTTAATCATTATTAAATTTTATGTTCTCAATGAAAATTTAATTTTTAAATATTATGTTCTTAAAATATTTTACAGCTGTTTTCAAAAAGATGTGGACAATGATTTCCATATACCTTTTGGGAAGACAAAGAATCTAGTAGAGCGGGTCCTTGAAAACTCTGAAACTATGTGAATTTCTCATAATTAATGATGGGAAAATTGCAGGTTTTCAAAATATCCCGCGCGAGATGCGGGATCCACGCGTGATCTATGGCTAATGCAGACCAGCTAGTTGTAATTTGGAAAAGTCCCGTGCGAAATGCCGCGCGTTGCCCATCACTACCCATAATATAGTGATATACACCTTTTTGAGAACATTAGAAACATTAAATTTTTAGCTAGTCACATATATTTCTGATTACACCTTTTATGTAATATAATATTAATTAGAGCTGATATATCTGTTTTAATATTTGAGATATTCCTGTGGAGCAAGAGTACGTGTAAATCAAAATTCCTCATAAAAAAAAAAAAAAAAATAAGTATCTAAAATATAAATACTATTTATTTACCTTGTGTAAAGGCAAGGGTACCTTATAATCGTATGAAGTTTGTGTTAATAAGAATTTTGCTTGAATTTTACAATGACCTTGCTTATAAATAAATAGGTTTCTTTTCTTTAAACGATTATAATAATAAAAATTTATATATAAAGTCAAGGGAAGAATGGTAAATGTCTTTATATGACAGATCTAAAATCAAGAATATAGGGTAAGGTAATTCACCAGAGGCGTGAAGTTAGTGATTTGGGATCTATTATAATGATCTTAAGAGTCGTAATAAACCAGTCCTGAAGTTAAGTCCTTTATAACTTTTCTAAAGAGTTGCTTTGATCATATATTTCTTATCGACTTAGTCAAAGTTTGCTTAGAATACACTACCTCACTTACCTTCCATTGAGAATTGGCTTTGCGTTAATTTATTATTTGCCGACAAGCCTCATGTGCCATGAGTGAATATTTCATAATCACAATTTCTGTGACAATTCTTCGATCACGAGAGTTTAGGCACAGTTACATCTTGATTTCTCAAATATCACTTTTTAGGAAATTCTTCTAAA